TTCCGGATGTTTTGAAGTGATATGATAGCTAGGGTGGGGCGAAAAAATGATCACGATAAAAATTTTCATATCAGTCGATATTGGTAATTATCACGATAAATTTAAACGTTTTATTTCCTCATTTTTATATGGTGAAATGTAATTATTTGGATTGTTTGAGTTTTATTAAAAATAACCATTGGTCTTCCATAGTAGCATACATTTAGATCATTATAACCACAGTTAAACCAAAGTTAAAATACCATGGTAAAAATGTAACCATATTATTTCTAGGTATTTGTATGAAAAACAGTAGTCTAAATACATTTAGTATAAATACAGAAATGCTATATAGCTTAATCACAAAATACTCGAATTATATTCCATTACTCCTTTAATACATTTAATTCATGTCTACATTAATAATATAATAAAATGTCTTATGATTGTCCCACATTTCTGCCAAAATGCCATGGTGCAGTTAGTGTTACTACAGTAAATCCATGGTAAATGAATGCGATTTGTAGATTGAAAAGTCTTCTGACTGTATCATTGCGCACAGTGTTTCTGCTGTTTGTCAGCACTATTTCATCTGGGCCCGTATTCACAAAACATTTTATCTTACCACTAAGAGTTCTCCTAAATAGAGGTAAAAGTTTTTAGCTAAGAGTTTTCTCTTAAAACCTTTTCCACATTTCTGCCAAAATACCATGGTGCAGTTAGTGTTACTACAGTAAATCCATGGTAAATGAATGCGATTTGTAGATTGAAAAGTCTTCTGACTGTATCATTGCGCACAGTGTTTCTGCTGTTTGTCAGCACTATTTCATCTGGGCCCGTATTCACAAAACATTTTATCTTACCACTAAGAGTTCTCCTAAATAGAGGTAAAAGTTTTTAGCTAAGAGTTTTCTCTTAAAACCTTTTCACAAAGCTGCTGAGACAAACTTTTGCTAAGGAATAGAGAGAAGTCTTAAGCTAAGAGTAAGGCGGGGTTGACCTCGTTTCTATGGATGATGTCAGCATGCTTACTAACTATGCACACAGTGATTGGCTGATAGTCTCTGTCAGAGATTTATTCATAGAAATATTGTAGAGCACACTATTATGTTGCCGTATTCAAATAAAGGTTTAAAAATAAAAATAAAAAGTGAATTGCCACATTCAATTAAAGATTTAAAAATGCAGGATAAGTGTCACTAAATAAACAAGTATATGTTCAGCTAATTGTCAGCCTCTTACATCTATGCTTTTCAAAAACAATTAGCGGATATGCATATAAACAGCCTTTTAATTAACAGAGTAGAATAATCATGGCTGATAGTAAGACATGCAAACGTTAAAAAAAAACAACAACAAGAAAAAACAAACAAACAAACTGGACACAAGAACAGCTGTTACTTCTTGCCCCACTGGTTAATGAAATCAAGGATATAATCAAAGGAAAATTTGGAGTTGGGGTAACCTCCAAAACCAAAGGTGATACCTTTTTAAAAGGTCATTATCATCAAATGTTTCTAAAATGTTTACGTTCAGAGGCAGATTGCCGACAACAGCCATTTTAGGAATAGTTTGTGGCTTGGTCTTAGTGACTTAGGAGTCCTCTTCACGACTCCTAACCTTTCACAGATTTAGGAGCTAATTTTAGTGCTAAAACGCTTTGTGAAATACTCTTAGAGCAAAAATTTAAGAGTCCTAAATTTAGGATTGACGCCCATTATTTTTAACATTTTCTCCTTAAATCGGCGAGTTATGAGCTACTTTTAGCCTTAAGATGTTTTGAATACGGGCCCTGGTTTTAAACTAGTTTAAAATCACAAAGTTATTTGTTTTGTTAGCTGAATTCGCGCACTTCACAATGGATCTCACAGCGTGTGACCGAGACTCATCAGCGAGTGAACGCATTTGCTCTAGTGAGCTCGCACTGCGCTGCCGCTTGAAATTTAAACTTACCAGATCAATGGTCCGTGTGGCGCGGTTCAAATGAGTAGCGGTGTTTCGTTCTACTTCTGGCGCATAAACATTATATCGAACATTTATCAAACACTTGTTATCGTTTTATCGCAGGAAATTATATCGCGATAATTAACGTTATCATTTTTTCGGCCAGCCCTAATGATAGCTTTTTGAGATCACTCATAACTCGATCACTCTGAATCATTCAGACCAGATCTGTGAACCGAATCAGTCGATTAATTTAAAAGTTCTTTATGAAGTTTAAATTCTCTCATGATTTCACAAATCTATCGTATGGCTTCAGAAGATTTGAAATGTAGCATGCGATTTGTATGGACCACTTTTATGATACTTTATGAAGCTTGAAAGCCTCAGTCCTCTAAAGAAGGACCAGTACGATTCTTCAAAATCCTTTTTTTGTGTTCCAAAGAAGAAAGAAAGTCATACGAATGGAAAAACATGAGGGTGAGTAAGGACATAATTTCTTTTCTTTTTTTTTAAGTGAACTATTCCTTTTAAGACTGTTTGGTTGTTTTACACATCACAAAGCCATATGAAAGGTTTTTTTTTTTTTGTACTACTTTACAAAACATTATCTTTAATTGAATTCTATGAGTAATTGTCTCTTTCAACCGCTGCATCTGGTTTCCTTGAATCTGTTGTTTCAAGAACAAAGGAAAGTGTTTGATGGAGTGAATGGTGTTCTGTCGACTTAGTATTGTTTGTAATGCAAACAGTGCATAGCAGCCACTATATTACACTATGGAGTGTAGCCATCTGTCAGGGGTTTTCATAAACATGTCACATCGTGATGTGGTAGGCATATTAAATCTCCGTTTATTTACACATACAGCAAAGCACTGCCCTCCAGCCAAATTGCATTAGTAAATGTAAATCATCCTTTTCTTTTCAGGACTCCGCTTAGTGCAGGGAAATGAACGGCTTCACGGGTTAACAGCCATTCTAATGAGCAAATAAAGTTGACCCCCTCAAGCACTGCCTTGGAACACCTTTAAATCAACAGAGAGCGAGACGGGGCGACAGGGTTTCAAGTACTTCAGACAAGCATGATTTACTGGCTCCTAAATTCTCAAAAAGCCTTGTAAAAACACACCGAACTGAGGCATTACGGTTCAAGAAGTCCTGCAGCTGGTCTAATATAGCAGAAAATCTGATTGGAAGACAAATGCAACCTAGCTTCTGTACTGTAAATGCTTTGAATTTCTGGAATTTGGCCAAAGTTCCTTTAAGAGAAGCCAGTTCACACAGTGACCATTTTGGAAACACCACAGACAGCTATTTTTGCTAATATAGCTTCTACCTACAGTGGAGAAAGACAGAAGTATTTAGACCTGTTTACATCTTTCCTCCTTTTGTTTTTTTACAAAGATTACATTTTGAAAGATTTCATGTTAAAACGTCATTCAAATCAAACAATAATGGTCTCATAAATCTGCAATGAAATAGAAGTAGTGACAAATCTTTTTATCTGTATTGTCAATGTCAGTGTCACTTTATTTGTAGAGCACAATTAAAACAACAGCTGTTGGCCAATGTGATGTGCATAATATAGGTCAATACTCAATAAGATAAACACAAACAAACAAAGAATAAACAACAAAAAAGCCACTGCATCAATTAAAAGCTATGGAAAAAGATTTGAGTTTTGATTTTTCAAATTATATACAGTTGTTGCAATTGTGGACTTACATCTAAATGTAAAGGATTATCAAAAAAAAGTCAAAGTTTAAACAGACTAAATGATTAGAAAACTCCAACATACATTTTCAGAGAGAAGCCAGTCATTTCACTGGAAGATTAGCGTCATGTTTTTTTTTTTATTAAAACATACACGGATGAATTGTTGACAATACGATCAGTAACGTCCATTTAGAAAATGTATGTAGGGTGAATTTTCCTATTGATGAATATGACTATGATTTCACTCGTTCATTCATACAATATTTCTACACTTGGGAAAAATAGTCAGTGCTAATGGAAAAAAAGCTTGTCAAGATTTTGTTTGAAACAATTTAAGTTCAATTACCAAAGAAATCTGACAACCGGACTTCTTTTGTTCAAATAACTGTTAAAATATGTATTGTATAAATTTAATATATTATAAAAGTATGCATATTTATTTTTAATATAACTGTTAAAAATATATGTATATATTGTCGCAGTCTGCAGCGGGTGTGCCCAGGAGGGCCACCAGATGACTGTGTTCTGTGAGCACATGGCTTGTGTTGTGTTTGTCTGTCGCCATGTGCTCTCTCCTGCCTATTGTCTTGCCCCTCCCATCTTGTTACCTCGTTATAGTTTAAGTTGATCCACCTGTGTCTCCCTCGTTAGCCTCCTCGTTTGGTTCCCATTTATTCTCCTTGTGTCTGTCATCCTGTGAATTTTCCAGTTTTCAGGCTGGTTCTATAAATGAATGTTTTAGAATAAACAAACTTTTTATTAGCTTTAAAAGGGTTAGTTCACCCAACAATGAAAATTCTGTCATTATTTACTCACCCTCATGTCTTTCCAAACTCATAAAACCTTTGTTCATCTTCGTAACACAAATTAACATATTTGTGATAAAGTGGTACTGTCCTGAATGCGAGTCGAAGACTGACACGGAAGAGAAGAAATTGTTAAATAAAGTTGTTATTTTTGTTTTCTTTGCGCACAAAGTATTCTCGTAGCTTCATAAAATTAAGGTTGAACCACTGATGTCACATGGACTATTTTAATGATGTCTTTACTACCTTTCTCGGCCTTGAACGTGTCTATGCAGGGTCAGAATACTCTTGGATTTCAGCAAAAATACCTTAATTTGTGTTCCGAAGATGAACGAAGGTCTTACAGGTTTAGAATGACATGAGGCTGAGTAATTAATGACAGAATTTTCATTTTTGGGTGAACTATACCCCTTTAACAGAAAGGCGTGTTTTCTATTCATAGTGTGTTATGATTTTGCCAGCACACCTTTTTCTGAGTTGGCTCAATTTTGCATTTGTAATGCTAAAAGTCAACACTTTTGCTACCGCTTACACATTTTCCCATATGTCTTTTCACAGGAGGAGTGCCAGAATTACATCCGTGTTCTACTCGTCAACGGCGACAGGCTGTTTACATGCGGGACAAATGCATTCACTCCAATTTGCACCAACCGCACGGTAACGTAAACGCATCAATGCACTTAATATAATGCACTGGCTTCCTAACCTGATGTTATGCTAGCTTCGTCCCAAGTTCCCTCTCCCACATTGACCTCCTTTGACATTTTCATCGCTGCGTGGGTTGTGTAGCATAGCATGTGGTATTTCAACCAATGCCTGTGGTTTATTTCAATAAACGTTTGTTCGTGCTTCACCTCAGAAGAAGCTTTCTTGAGATCTAGACAAAAAAACAACAACAATAAGAAACAAGGCCTGTTTTTCTAATAAAGTGGGAACTTGTAGTATCTCTAAGTCTCTTGTCCTTTGTGTAAAGTTCACACTTGTTATGCAGGTGTTGTGCGAGTGTTTGCACTTTATCTTTGACGAATTTTTCCAACGCATGGGTTGCAGCATATTTGCCACCTATCGCAATAAATGCCACTCAATGCGGCTGATTGAAAGATAAACATCTCCACCAAGCACATTTACTGACATCCCCCATTATTCCCCCTCACATCTCCTAGTTTTCACTCATGCATGTAAGTCTCTTGTGCTCGAATCCCTGAATTTGAATGACTGGATTACTCTTCTATCCTTTCCTCAAACCTGATAATGATGATGACATTCGATTCGCATACTATGGCAATCATCTCCTCGGTGGCTCTTTGAAGGATGGCAGGAATTATTGACTCAAAGCTAATTCACCCCAGGGATTTACCATTATAAGTACCTCGTGCCAGCAGGAAAGGACTTAGTGAAGCCAGGAAGGCATGAGCGAAAAGTCTCCGTCGTGTCCTTGTAACGCCGCCAGTAAAGCCGCATCTTTAAACAAGCGGCTATCGAGGTTGTAGTGCTGCTCAAACACAGCTGCCGGTCTCCTGAAGAGGCGTCTTTCAACCCTCTCCATTAATGTGCATTATGGGTAGCGTGTCCATATCTGCGACGGCTTCCGAGTGCTATTTGTCAGAAGGTGTTCCATCAATAAACGCCTTTCATCTTTCTTCGCACCCATGAAAAGGCACATCCGTTCGGGCGTTGGCTCGGGGAGAAGTATCTCCCTGGCACCGACGCTTCAAAAGACTGCTTCGCCTTGCCAAACATGCAAATTCGCCTGACTTTATTGCCAGCTAAATGGGCTCCGGGTCCTGAAGGAAGCCAAGACACTTCCAGCCAGGTTTTCTTCGAGCCAGCATCAAGGATAATCCCCCTTTACATTGATTACACAGGACAAGTGTTGTGGCCGTCAGCTGCATGTAAGATAAAAGCATTCAAGAGAGGCCACACAGGATCTAATCCGCCTTCGGGACAGACCGATAGGGTTGAGCACAATGCAGTATGTCAGATTTCCTGGTACAAAAATAAGCTAGTCACTGAAGGCATGACATTTCAAGCTGCATAGATAAAATTTACTGCTGCTTGAGATGTATTGCTCAATTCGAAAACCATTCACTTGTCATTTTTCTGGTAACAGATACCAGATGCATATGGAAGGTAGGAGCGTCATTATAACAGAAGCTTTAACTGGATTTTTCAAACGTGTTTTTGATGCCAATTTGTGTCACATTTTTAAATATGATGAACAGGATTTGGCTGTGCTCTCAAAAGGAAACAGCACTAACAGCTCTTCAAATACTCTCCCTTGTGAATACTGCAAAAAATGATTTTCTTTATTGTTTTCCATTACAAATGTATAAATATTCTTAAATCAAGATATATTTATTTGACAAGAAAAATTACTTCGATATTAATATATCGTAGATTCTTATATATCTAGTAGCAATTACTAGATATTAAGTCTTGTTTTTTTTATAAATATCAACATTTAAGAAAATATATGTGCGCGTGCGTGTTGTTTTATGCTCAAAATCTTTTAATTTTGATACATTTAAAATTTTAAACAAGACTTAATGTCTTAGGTTATTTTGTTTCTCAAGTAAATGTATCTCATTGTTTGTTTTTTCAGTGTAAATGTAAAGAATGTTTAGATGTTTCTACTAGAAAACAAAACAAAAATACTGAGTAAGAAAATTATTTTTGCAGTGATAACGGAAGCAGTCCTGTACATCAGTGGTTCTTAACCTTTTTTACTTCAATGCCCCATTTTGTCCACAATAATTTCCCATGACTTTTCCAATTGTACGTGATTCACTGGATAAGGATTTACTCACAATTTATACCCAATAAAATATTTTAGAGTCTGGCATATATACATATTTTAGAGCTTGGCCGAAATAGACTTTTCCATGTCCACAAATCACACTTTTAAAATGAGGCTTTCTCATATAACCAGGTTTTCCAAGAAGTTGCAATCCTGTTTTTTGAAAGACAAAAAATAGTTGTTAAGGGAGTGATGAAGAAATATCTTGATTTTTAGTTGTTTTAGCTTGTTTCTATGCTTGTTTGAAGTCATTTTAAGGCGCTCTTGGATGTTTGCCGAGGTTGAGCCTGGTTGAGAACCACTGCTTTAAACCCATATGGTTCACTAATGGCTTCTCTAGTAGTTCAGATGGAGAATTTTGTGAAGGAACAGAAATCGGTTAAAAAAACTTGGACCGGCACGAAAAGTCATACTCGCTTCCTTTGGTGGCATATCCCTTGTGCTTATTGTATACAAATGGAAATTACCTTCCTGTCATGGTAGCTTCCCATTGCTGGCTAAATGTCATGCTTAGCAAGAATCAAGGCTTTGCCGTACTTCACATAAGAACAGAACGGGTGTGTTGCGAACGATTAGCATTTAGCTATTGCAGCCGCCACTAGGCGTGACAACCAAGTAATGAGATAAACATTTTTGCCGTCTCACAAAATAGCACACAACACGACTGGAAGTAGGCAGAGCGTTTCCACAGTAATAAATGATTTGAACGGTGAAATAGTTTTCACTGCCACATCAGCGCCTCGCGTAAACAAAATTAGAACATCTTCGAGATTTCTGTCCGTGGAAATGTTTGGACGTATTTCTCTGTTCAGACTCAAAACAAACTAATAGTGCGTTCAAAATGATTTATTTTATGATTTGTATTCCGTTTGTATTTACTAAGATATATACTAGCCTTTCAGGTATAAGAATTCCAGGGTGTCTGAATTCAATCTCTGTTTCTCTGCACAGCTGACTAACCTGACCGAGGTCCATGATCAAATCAGTGGGATGGCACGGTGCCCCTATAACCCTCTGCATAATTCCACTGCCCTCATCACTTCCAGCGGGGAGCTGTATGCCGCCACAGCCATGGACTTTTCCGGCAGGGACCCGGCAATCTACCGAAGCCTGGGAGGACTTCCACCTCTGCGTACTGCTCAATACAACTCCAAATGGCTCAATGGTATTGTATGAAATATATTTAATTCAATTATGACATTACGAGAAAAAACTAAAGACCTTAATAGCAATCAAGTGACTAACTGGTCTTTGGAAAATGTGGCACAAGTTGTTTCTTTAAAGGTGTAGTTCACCTAAAAATGGAATTTGGAAAAATGGAATGACATGAATTTACTCACCTTCATGTCATTCCAAAACTGCATGAATTTCTTTCTGTAACACAAATAAAAACATTAGGCAGAATGACAGCCTCCATCACTGTTCACTTTTATTGTATGAAAAAAAGATGTAATGAAAGTGGCCAGTGACAGACTGACAGTGAGTCTGTCAGTCTCTAACATTCTGCCTAACATTGGCTTTTGTGTTCCATATTCGAGCTTCCGAACAACAAAAGGAGGTGTAAATGATGACATTTTGGGGGGTGGGGGGTGAGATGTAAGTTTAAGTGGCACATCTGTTTTGAAGAGCTCTGCAGTTGTTCTCAACTGGTGGTTCACAACACAAAAATAGGCTGCAGGTCTGTTCTGATAAGGTTTCAAACATCTGCAAGAACAAAACTAAATGCAAGTGTAACTTGACAAATAAATGTCAGATCATTTGTTGTTGACTTCAAATAGTGAATATCTGGTCAAGTTTGACTGTGTTTTGATACAACATCAGTCATATCATAGAAGGTAGACAAATTAGCATATGCCAACATGAGTGGGATGTGCAACATGCAATCATCCATAAAAACGATGAACAACACTACAAAAAAAGAATACAGTTTTAGTAATTTTAGTCACCTGTTGTGTCCATCTGGCTTGTTTTTGCTGGATTTATGATGTTAGATTTCGGCACAAAAACAAAATTGACCATCTTAAAGGAACAGTTCACCCAAAAATTTAAATTCTGTCATCATTTACTCAGAATCATGTGAGTCCAATCCTGAATGACTTAATTACAAAAGATAATTTGAAGATTGTTGGTAACCAAGTTTTAGTCACCATTTACTTCCATTATATGGACAAATTAAAACACTTGAGATATTCCTCAAAATATTTAGAAGAAAGACAGACATACAGGTTTTGAACAACATGAAGGGGAGTAAAAGATGACAGAATTTTCATTTTTGCATGAAGTATCCCTTTAACTGTAGACCTTAATCTTTTCTCCAAACCTAAACATCAACGTCCAATTTGGAAAAAACTGCCTGAGCTGATGGGTTTAAAAATTATTATCAGAAAATCTCGACAGAGAAGAATTCCACCTGATTTACATTTACATTACATTAACTTTATCCAATTGATTTTTCCTCCTTCATGTTGTGCAATTGTGCAAAGCTCCTCACCACAAAAGAAAATGAATTTGCTGTCAATCACATCCACCTCCTCACTTTGAATCTTACGAAGCTGGCCATGACGGTTGCTCTTTTTGCCTTTGAGAGGCTCGTGCGTTCATCTGTTTTGAATGGAGAACGATAATTAAACGAGTAAGCTCGCTTTCATCGTTTCTCACCGTAACCTTTCTCTTCTCCCATGACAAATTAGTTTGTCCATTACCTAAGCATAAGATTAATAAATGCATCTCGATGGGCCAGCGGTTCTGCTCCATGTGCAATCCGTTATTAATCACTGTCATCTGTCCCCCGTTTCTGTCAAACTCAGAGCCCAACTTCGTTTCCTCCTACGACATCGGCAACTTCACCTACTTCTTCTTCCGTGAGAACGCCGTGGAGCATGACTGCGGCCGGACGGTGTTCTCTCGCGCCGCCCGCGTCTGCAAGAACGACATCGGGGGCCGTTTTCTGCTGGAGGACACCTGGACCACCTTTATGAAGGCCAGGCTTAATTGCTCACGGCCGGGCGAGATTCCATTCAACTACAACGAGCTGCAGGGAACCTTTTTCCTGCCTGAGCTTGAGCTTCTCTATGGGATTTTCACTACTAATGTGTGAGTAAAGCACCTTTTGATCACAACACACAGTTTTAAGATATCCGCTGTTATGTTCAGGGTTTCAAAGCACAAAAGTCAGCTTATGACCCATTATTTCCTGCAGAATGTCAATTTTGTGGTCTGCATTCTCAGCAAAAGCCTGTTATTAATTGCATAGTTTTTTTGTGAGGGCACTATCATTTTAACACCATACATTAGCCTTTTTTTTTTTTGCTTACCTGCTGTTATCTCTCTGGTAGTGTGTGATCTGTATCACAGTCAGCCATGGACAGATCCATTTTTCACATTGTGTTCCACTATGCTTTAATGATTGTCAGTGAAAAAGTGTTGCATATAAGTGTGTGTGTGTTTGTGTGTGCTGACTGCCTGCTTCTGACTCTGTTCTCAGCAACAGCATTGCCGCATCAGCAGTGTGCGCCTTCAATCTGAGTGCTATTACCCAAGTGTTCAGTGGGCCTTTCAAGTACCAGGAGAACTCACGCTCCGCTTGGCTGCCCTACCCCAATCCCAACCCTGACTTTCAGGTAAGCACCCAGAAAATGACAGTCACTTTTACGGACAATATGCATTCGCTCCATCTGCTTTAAAAGTTAAGTGGCACTTTCCACAAATAGGGTACAGAATAGGGCCTGAAACTCTCAAATGGTCAGTGAAAGGAGGTGCTTAACCTTCAGAGAATGTTGATCATCATCCTCTTCATCAAGAAGTCATTCTGAGTTTTATTTTCCATTATTTGATGAGACCCTGTTAACAGCATTTGTTGTTTAAATGTTTTTTTTGTTATTTTCTAATAGTAAACATAATTATATGATTTTTCTATTCAGTAGAAAAAATGTAATGATATAATGAGTAACATTTTTTTTTAAATATCAAAGTAACAATAAAGGCATTTATAATGTTCCAAAAGATAGAACTTTGCATTCATCAACAAATCCTTAAAAGGTATCACAGTTTCTACAGAAATACTAAGCAGCACAACATTTTTCAACGTTTTCAATATTGTTCTCTAATAATATGTTTCTTGAGCAGCAAATCAGCATATTAGAATGATTTCTGAAGCATCATGTGGCATTAAAGACTGTAGTAATGCCTGCTGAAAATTCAGCTTTGCATTACAGGAACACATTACATTTAAAAATATATTAAAATATATATTTTTTAGTTATAATAATATTTTACAATATTACCATTTTACTGTATTTTTGATATTTTTGCAACCTTGAGAAAGTGACTTCTTTTAAAAACTTTAAAAAATCTTACTGACCCCAAGCTTTTGAACAGTAGTGTAGCTCAGGAGCAAATGCTGGATTTAAAAAAAAAACAACAACATAATTTTCCCATTCTGATCATTTCTCTTAAAATAATACAGGTGACAGGGTTAAACTTGACTTGAATTCAGTCAGCAACACAATATGTGTAAAAATAAATAAACACACACACACACACAAATTGTCTTTTTCCACAATGCTGTAGGAAGTAATTAAAATTTGTTTGTAATATAAATATTTTTATTATTTGTAAATAATGTATTTGTAAATTGTAAAATTTGTATTATTTTGATTTTTAACTACCATTGAGGTGGGACAGGTCAAAATCACCATATTTTAAAAACTACCTACATTTCATTCTAGGTTAATAACAATAAAAAAATGTGGGATTTGTCTCTCTGCTGCTCTAATGCCAAATAATACGGTATTTGTGAAAAGTGCCAGGCCTCTTTCTGTTAGCAGCACTCCAGAGATAAACAACCAAAAAAAATAACTGACTTTCTCACCTCAACTGCCACCAATGTGTGCCCAATTAAAACGAGATGCTGACTGAAGTTTTTCGTTTTATTGCCTCATGTGTTTGCCTGATTATTCTCTGGAAAAAAAGAATATGTGAGGTGAATTTTTATTTTTCTTAGCACTGTCCAATTATCCAAAACCCACAAACATCTAAGTCTGATATTGTCAATGATAACGGAAGGGAGACAGATCAGGTCACGGTTCCTCAAGCCTCTCTTATGGTCATTAATTTGCCTCCATTTCCATGTCTTTTTAATGCTCATGAATTTATTAATAAAGTTGCCAGCTTATAACATTTGTGGCTGGACAATTACAATGATAAGAGCTAATAAAACCAGTATTCATCTCCTGTGGAGTATTGCCAGCCACTTCACAATGACTGACTCTGCAGTGCATAGTTTTAAGATTTTCTTCCGAAATCTAAACTCAGAATGAAGGAATGTATCTGTGTCTAAATTGCTGGTAATTGTTGGAAGGTTAATCTAAAGCCGTTAAATGTATTTTAATGCGACGTGAGATCCATGTCCAGGCCCAGATGGTTTCTGCAGACTTTTTATTTACATTTTCCAAGCTGATTTTTGGTGAAATTCTCCAGAATGTATTTAAACATAGTAAATCATGTTGAAAACCAGTTCGATTACATTTCACCTCTAATAACAAACACACAAGGGCCAGATGCTCTGAATGACGTGTTCAGATTCTTTGAAAATCTTCAGCGCTTTCTGTTGGAATTGGGTGCAGATTCTATGCGGGCCTGGTAATGACCCCATTAAAATGACTTGACTACCATATCTAAACCCTTTAAAAACTGTCTGATCAGTATGGACTTCTTTATTGGATCAGCTGAATCAGACTTTCTCGTCTGGCTTATTGAAGCCGATCTCTGTGACCTGATAATTAAGTTTCCGAAGTCCACGTGAAAGTATTTTACTTCATTCTTTTTCTCTTTGAACCACAAGGATTCATGATGTACAGGAGCCCCACTTTATCTAGCTTGCTGTGACATTGTCATCAAGCATTTGTCCATGTTGTTGAGGCCAGATTTACGAGCTTCAAATTTATGGCTTCCAGCATTGATGGAAAATGGCTTGCCGTATATTCCGTTCTTGAAAGATCAACATGCACCCCATTTGAGTAGAATTATGCCTGCGTTGATCTCCAGCTGATTGATGTTGATTATATGTGATCCAAGAGAGAGTGTGGGTTTTGTGAGGCCAGCTAATTTGTTTCTCCGTATAAAATCTTATTCAGGGAGGAAAACAGTAATTTAGGGAAACGACTGCTAGCCAGATTTCTAAATGCTTTTCTATAGAAGAAATTATCATGATTTCATACAACAAATGGGTTCTTCGGACCAACAGCTTTTAGTGACTTTTTTTGCATTTCTTCACAGACCGTTAATCCTTTTATTTTCTTATCGGCATCTCTCTGTTTGTATCTCTCTTGTTCTTTCTCAGTGTGGCACTATAGATTACGGCTCCTATGTGAACTTAACGGAGAGGAATTTGCAGGACGCCCAGAAGTTCATTCTGATGCACGAGGTGGTGCAGCCCGTCGTTCCTGTGCCATACTTCATGGAGGACAATGTGCGCTTCTCCCATGTGGCCGTGGATGTAGTGCAGGGCAAAGACATGCTCTATCACATCATTTATCTAGCAACAGGTATAGTACCACATCACCTTTACATAGAAAAAAGAGGAGGTCTGTACATAGCATTAACATTTATGCACATATAGTCTAAATATAAAATAAGCACTGCATTAGATATACGTTACTGATGAAGGTTAATGGAGTTGCAGCATAAGATGCTCTACTAATAGCACACTACTTTCTGCAGAATTGCAAATGCAGTCCATTAGTTGTGGCAGATGCTTATAGTGAGTGATCTGATTAGTATAGAAGCTCATTTCCGCCTCAGTCAAAACTAGAAAAGTTCATTTGTAAAATAAAGTTGAAAATAAGAAATAAAGTCACAATTGAAAGGTTTTAGGTATGTATATATATATATATTTCTTTTAAAAAATGAATATATTTATTCAGTAAGGATGCATTAAATTACAATATCTATTTCAAGTAAATTATATTATTTTGAACTTTCTACTGATCAAAGAATCCTAAAATAAAGGTATCACAGTTTCTACAAAAATATTAAGGAGCATAACTATTTTCAACATTGGATGATGATGATGTTTTTTTAGCAGCAAATCAGCATATTAGAATGATTTCTAAAGAATCATGTGACACTGAAGCCTGGAGTAATGATGCTGAAAATTCAGATTTGTATCACAATAATAAATTAAATGTTAAATATATTCAAATAGAAAACAGTTATTTTAAATTGTAATAATATTTTAGTTTTTATTTTTTTTTTATCAAATAAGTACAGCCTTGGTGAGTCTATGAGACTTCTTTCAAAAGCAAAATGTTAATTACCTCAAACTTTTGAACAGTAATGTAAGTAGACACACACACACACACACACACACATATATATATATATATATACTGTCAATATGGGGTGCTGTGTGTACATTAATGAGGAAAAAAAATTAACTTAAATGATTTTAGCAAATGGCTGCAATATAACAAAGAGTGAAAAATTTAAGGGGGTCTGAATACTTTCCGTACCCACTGTATATATATACTGTATATAAGTCTGTCAGTTGATTCACACTGAAGGCAGATATGGGTCACTAACAAACAAGAATTTAAATAGTGGATAGTTTGAAAAAAAAACAGATCTGAGAAAAAAAAAATCTGAAATGAACATTAAAGCCTGTAATATGAAAGTAGTCAGAGAATCCCAGGTGGCCGACTTATCATTAAACCCGCAGCTTATTAGAATGTTACTTTTACCATCAGAACTTTGTCGAGTGAAGACTTCTGCATTGCCATAAGGGAGGCACAGGGGAAAACTGAATCTAGTAATTGGTGGTCTACTTGAATCATTGGTCTTTGAAGCAAGCAACAGTTGGTCACCAGGCTGAATAAAGGCATTAGACACATAGCAACGATAAAACATCAAAGGCAGCATGTGCTTACATAAGGAAAAAAATGTACTGTAAGCTGTCATTTGCTATCCAGATGCACACCAGAGCGCTGGAAATCTCCAAGTCTGTCTGCTCTGGCCTGTGCACTGCTGAAAAACACTGAACATCTAGTTACCTGTCAACAGAAATTAAATTAGAGGAACACTTGTTGTTAAAGAACTGTGTAAAATAAACACTTGTTAAAGGGAAGGAGACACTTGTTAAATTGCACAACATAAACGCACAGGACAGTCTGGGTTTAAAAGCTGTTTGCTAATTGGGCGAGCAGCGTGAATTTGGTTTTATTTCTGGAATACACCAACTGTTTTCGATTATTCGATTATAAAGTCAAAGCCTCATGCTGATTTAAGAGCATTCACAATGTCTGTCTAGTCTGACAGTGAGGGAATAAAGGAATGGAATAGCAAAAAAGAATAAAATGTATTGTTCGCCCCCAAAAAAAATGTCATTGTCAAAATGTCATGTCATTTCAAACCTGTATAACTTTATTTCTTTGTGGCACAGAAAAAGGAGAATTTTAATGGTCACAAATGGCCTCCGGAGGTCCATTCTCCATATTCCAAGTCTTCTAGAACTTAAAAAAAAACTTTTTTGAACTGGTTTAACTTATTCATTTAAAAGATCTGACTCGAAAGAAAGATTTTTTCACAGATTGGACATCTCTACTTCTCTCCTGAAAACACCAACGTTCGGCGTAAATATTTTCAGACAATAATAGTAATATCTTTCATTTCAGTCTGTTAACTTAGTATTATTATTTGTTAATTTCGGATATGTTATTAATTATTTTAATTTCAGTTTTAGTTTTAATTTCAATTACTGGATACAAATTTGAATAGTTTTTGGTAACACTGGTCTGTTCCTCACACAAAGCTCTCATATGACAAAATATTGTGCACACATAGTATGAATCTTGTATGAAATTATTATTATTTTTTTTAATCTTTCTTTTGATGTTCCAAAATAAAAAGTAAGTCATATGCATTTGCAACAACATGAGGATGAGTAAATGATGAATTAATCATTTAATGCTCAACATTGCAGTCACTTGCCATGTATTCCAGGATAATGACATGCACTCAAGATTAAAACATTTGCGAGGCGCTATAAAATAAATCCTCTGCTATGGCAAACAGTCCATTATGCGCCATGTTTAGAAAGTTAGCCTCAATTCAATTCATGCCAGACAATAATAGCTTAAAGTGTGAGGAACGTAGCCGGAATTTCACAGTCGAATGGAATGAAATAGAACACTGAAGCCTGTTTTGACAAGAGCAGGGACCTAATCAGTGGCTCTTGTAGTATCTAAAAGTTCATTGCTCCACATGTTGTATGGCTCCTATAAAACATCTGACAGGCCGCTTTGGAGCGAACAGAAGAATAACAGCAACTACTGCGAGGATAAAATAGATAATAAATAGCTTATCAAACCAATCCAGTTCACTCTTTGTGACATTATGAGACCAATGAATGTCCTCCATGGACTCACAGACCACATGCTCCATAGAGGGATGTGTAACTTGCGAAAGGTGATTCAGCCGATAATTCTGCCCTCCTTTCAACTACACAAAAGCCACCCTTTGGAAAAGATAATGAATCTTCTCTGGAGAGTAGTCAGTCTGCCCTCTTTGCCCTTTCTGATCCAAATAGCACATCCATATTTAAGTTGACAGCCCAGGTGGCAGACTAGCACTTTATAGAATTTTCATGTAATAGAAGAGATCTGAGGTCATTCTCCACTGCTGCTTCTCTGACATCATTTCCTTTCAATCTCACCAGGTCATCAGTGCTCTCTCCGCTGAACCAGACCACAGGCAGCTGTTTGCTGGATGAGATTGAGCTTTTCCCCCCAAAGAAGAGGCAGCCAATCCGCAGCATGCTCATACTTCACAGCCGTAGTGAGCTATTTGTGGGAGTCAGAGACCAGGTCATCAAAATCCCCCTGATGCGCTGCAACTTCCACAAGTCTAGAGAGTGAGTACTGCTGCTTCTCAGTAGATAAATGTACAACATCTCAAGGTAGAAATTCATAACTACTTCCCAAAAATGAAAATGTCATCATTTATTCACCATCATGTCAAAAACTGAACACAAAAGGTGTTGTTTCTAGATTACTTAAAATAGATCTTGTTAGCGCCAAATTTGACAGGAATGAAAACAAGGCTGTGAGGGATAGAAGTACAGTGCGTTCAATGGATTTTACTGTTGTTTAACAACATGCCGATTGTTTAGCTGACGAAATGTATTTCTCAAAATACATTGGTTGTGACAATTATATGACCTTTATACAATTCGTTCCACTGTAAACACTCTTAAGCCTCATCCATGTTAAATTCAATATGGTGTCTAACCTGATTAAGGTCTATAATGAACACATTAAATGGACTTTTAGGATACTTTAGTTGTTGTTGTTTTTTGTTTTTTTTTGTCCTTTTTGGAGCTTGACACATCCTTCATCCATTTTCATTTAGTCAACCCTTTCATCAAAATATAATAACTTTCTGCACCTGACACATCTTTTCTTCTCTTTGTGTACAAAGGCTATGTGGCCGTGGGGGAATAAAAGTATTAACAAATAACAATGAATCCTATTTTTCACAGTCTGATCAACGCTTAAAGAGTACAATCAAATCCAAGGCTATATTTTGTAGCTTTTTTTTTTTTTGGTCACTCTTTTCAATAAGATGTGTTAACTTTGTTAACAGTGGACCATATCTTTGGTCACACTTTATTTTAAGGTCCAATTCTCGCTATTAACAAACCATCAACTATGGCTTTTGCCTCAATAAACTCCTAATTTGCAGTTTATTAATAGTAAGGTAGTTGTTAAGTTTAAGTATCAGGTAGAATTAGGGATGTAGAATATGGTCATGTAGAATATGTGCTTTATAAGTACTAATAAACAGGTAGGTATGTTAGGTATGAAGGTATGTTAATAATAGGCATGCTATTAAGCAACTAGTTAATAGTGAGAACTGGTCCCACTAAAGTGTCACCCTATCTTTTAATTATTAATTCATTTTTGTTCATAATTAATGTTAATTTATTGTATTTTCTTGCTGAAATATGTTGGTATATATAGAAATGAATTGTTCCCTTTCAGTCGGTCACTCTCGACGTCACGTCGGATGACCGACGAATTGGGATCTCGCTTAGAGAGACCAATCTACTTCGAGTGTAAAAGGCGGCCCCCTGCCACCACCCCGTTCCCGTGGCCTCCAGCAAAGCTGCGCCGTGGAGCCGGTCGCAGGGCAACCACCCCGCCCGTCCAGGCCCCCGCCAAACCTGGTGGCAAGCGAAAGAGCAAGAGGCCCGTAACCGAGACGTTAGTTCATGATACCTAATGCATTAACTAATGTTGACAAACAGAACCTTATTGTGAAGTGTTACCCATTCGTTTTCCTTGCAAATTTCATGTTTTATGTGATGTTAAATGCAAGTGTCATTTCATGATTGCTTTTAATAATACTAAAGTTTTGATTCCTGGCAAGATAAATGATACTACTAATCTTACGAGCACATACATGCCTGCAACCTAATTTTTTTTTTCACTGCACAAGAATAAACGTAATGTCACAAAGATCCTCTGCCAGAGGGCAACAAAGAACAATCATCATGTTTGACATTGTGCCTCCAGGCCTTCATATCAAGAGCACTTCTCTAATCTCTGCTCATAAGGGGAGATGGCAGCCTGTTCATCATCTCTCTCCATTTGCATTCCAATGAAAAGCGCTGAGTTATGAGAATATGAGCTGAGTTTTATGCGCATTAAATATCGTGCGATATTTATCGTGCAGCCCTAAAAGTTATTCAACTTTTGTTCTATTTAGTGTCAGAATTTAATTTACATGATGATTTGTCAACCCTTCTTTGACTCTTAGAAGGGTATACCTTTAAGACTTCTGTGTAAATGCTCTTTCTGCATGTGAAATTGACAAGCTTCTCATTAAAGCCGGGCTCACACTACAGGAGTTTTAAAATCCTAACCGATTATGAAATCTGGTTGCAGCACACACATAAGGAGAATCTTTGCAGATTATCTTCCCTCAAATCTTAAAAATGCACACACTACAAAATTTTAACATCGTGGCGCATCACACACTACAAGATATTATTAAGATTATCATGCCAGAGGGAGCGCCTCAAGTGATCTCACCTCTGCTCATAAGGGGAGATGGCAGCCTGTTCATCATCTCTCTCCATTTGCATTCCAATGAAAAGCGCTGAGTTATGAGAATATGAGCTGAGTTTTGCCTGATGAGCTTTTTCTATCCTCTTATGCGGTTAGGAGAGGTCAATTACTCACACCTCTATACTTTCTGACACCAAAAAGGGGAACTAATGCAAATTTTGTTTGAATAAACAGCCACATGCCATAACAGGGCCGTTTTAAAGTGCCTGGTTTACACTGCTGATATTCACATTACCGTGTCACTGTACTCCAAGCTTTACGGCACTGAATGCTTGGCTTCATCTTTCCATCCGTGCTGATGACTGCTATGATAGTCCTCAATGAGTTTGAAAAGCTATTCGGTGCGTCTCAGGGCTGTTCTCTGTTTCTGATGAAAGTTATTACCAGCACTCAAGGGAAATACTGCCAGATTAAGTTATGCCAAAGCAAGCAATATTTATAATAAGAAGCATGTGTGCTCTTTAAGGTGTTTAACTTTTTAAAGGGCTCATATGATATGTTTTTACCATTCTATTTATTTCCCAGAGGTACACTTATAAAGTTATTAGGGCTGCACGATAAATATCGCACGATATTTAATGCGCATCTCGTCAGTAAAGCCGGTTCTGTAATCAGCGGTAAATCTCTACACGTGCGTGCTTTCACGTGGAGCAGCATTTACTACACAGAGCCCTTGCTATGCTTGCTCTTGGCCTTCTTCAAAAGGAAGTGCAGAGCTGTAGGTGCTACACAAAGCCTGGAACAGTGTGTTTTTAGTGGACTTTCACAATTTAATATTAATAATTTTTTATTGTATTTTATATACAGTACTTCTGCGCAATGGGATTGGAATGTTTATGAACAATGGGATCTGTCCTATTTGTTCATGTTTCAGGTTTCTGATGTCAGAAAGAATTTCATAAGCCGTATTTGCGGTTTAGTGTCAATATATTATGTTTTTGGACTGGGAAGGAAGTTGTCAATTGTAAAACTTGTGAGCAGTATGCTTTCATAAAGGAAAATTGGATTTCTCGTGACATGACCTCTTCACTTCTGCTCTTCTTTTGTCTCCTCTCAGTTGATTAATGTTGCCATAAACTTTCGTATCATGATGAGCATCTGTTCTTTCTCTCAGTGCCTGTGTGGGGGCCAGGGATCCGTACTGTGGCTGGGATCTGGTGCTCAAGAAATGCACCACCCTAGAAGAAAGCGTCAGCATGAGCCAATGGGAGCAGAGCATCACACGGTGTCCTGTGAGTATCCAGAATGCACCTCAATCATTCACGCAGTGCCTCAGCCCTCAAAGCCAAATGTTATTTTTTTTCATATGAAGACTCTTGATGCTGATCCAGTCTGTCGGTGAAGAACAGTGACAAATGCGCCCGCTTCAACTGTAACTTGCAGGATCAACTTTTTTTCTCATAACAGCAGACACTCTTAGAAGTGTTTTATAACAATGTTGAGGAAACATTGCAGGTGATGGACAGACAGTGCTGAGACAGTGCAGATCTGATGTATTGCTGCTTTTGCAGCAAAACAAACTTTTCCTCTTTCTGTACTCAAAAAGAGAATATAAGGCTAATAGTAAATAGCGCCTGTGTGCAAAGAATCAAAGCGCAGCAGAATTTGCCGTCAGCCATCTTTCTGTTGAATGGCATTCTCTGGTAACATGGCTTCATATTCCCACACTCCTTTGTGCTGACATGTGCCCCAGCCTGAGGCCTCCCAGCCTGTAGATCACTCCCAGAATCCTTTGTGCAATCCATCATGTCCCTCCCCTGTATAGTGGCTCTGAAAATATTTAGACACTTGCTCTTCACGAGGTTTCATGTTCTAAAGGTTACATGCAGTGTTCTGTGAGATACCACAACTTTGAAAGCACAATCAACACACACACACATATTTGTGGACACACAGATACTATAAACTATATCAGGCATTGTGGCAGTCTCGCAGGGTCTTTTGGTAAAAGACCTTGTAGCTTGTAGCTGTAGCTGAGAAATGACATTTTGTGTAATAACAAGTTGCCTCCCACGCTGCGTGAAGAAAGCAGCATGGAATTGTTGAACACAAACAGAGAAGTGTAAAAGTGTGGGAGGCTTCGGGTCTCAGAGTCACTAGAATGCAAGATTTCTATTGATTTAGTTTCACACATGTTGTTTACACATATTGGTTACACATTTTGAGGTCCAGATGTCCTTTGTTGTTGGAAGCAACAATCAAAAATGTGCCCCAAACATGTTAAGCTGTGGTGCTTGTGTGGAAGATGCAGATTTGTATCCTGCCTGCCTGCAAAATGTTACAATTTCATTCACCTTCTCTTACAAGGTCAATGACGTAATGCCTCTTTTTGTTTCCAAACCTTTCATTTCCCAAAAATGCAATGACTGTTTTGTTGATTTGTTTTGTTGGAGTTTTTGTTCTGTTTTTTTGTTTTGTGAATTTGGTTTGGTTTTTTGGGGGGGTGGGGGGTTATGTTTATTTGTGTTTGTTTGTTTGTTTGTTTGTTTGTTTGCTTGTTTGTTTGTTTCAATTTCATTCACCTTCTCTTACAACGTCAATGACATGATGCCTCTTTTTATTTTTTATTATTATCCAAACCTATTTCCCAAAACATGCAGTTACTTTTGTTTTGCTGTTTTTTGTTTGTTTGTTTGTTTGTTTATTTTTTTCTGTTTTTTGTTTAGTGATTTTTGGTTTGTTTTGTTTTTTTTGGGGGGGGGGGGGGGTTATTCTCACGATAGCTGCATTTTTATTAAAAATACAGTAAAAACACGAGCATTGTGAAATATTATTGCAAATTAAAATAGCTATTTTCTGTTTTAGAGATTTTTTCAGTTCTTGGTCCCCAACGTTATCTTCTTTTAAATCATCTCTTAAAACATATCTTTTTTTCTCAGGCTTTTGCTTAACTTGAAAATACTTTTTTGTTTTGTTTCTGTTTGTTTCTTTTGTTTGGTGATGTTTTGCATTACTTATTGTATTATTTATTTTTTTTTTTTTTTTTTTTTTTTTTTTTTTTTTTTTTTGGGGGGGGGGGGGGTTGTTTGTTTGTTTGTTTGGTTGGCTGGTTGGTTGGTCTTTCCAATTTCATTCACCTTCTCTTACAATGTCAATGACGTTAAATCAGTGATGTTATGGCCTCTTTTTTGTGTCCAAACCTTTTATTTCCCAAAACATTTGTTTATTTTTTTGTTTTTTGTTTTTTCGTATTATTGGTTTGTTTTGTTTTTTGGTTTGTTTTTTGGGGGGTTCTGTTGTTTTTTTTTTTTTTTCAATTTCATTCACCTTCTCTTACAAGGTCAGTGATGTAAAGACTCTTTTTTGTGCCCAAACCTTTTATTTCCCCAAACATGCAATGGCTGTTTTGTTTTTGTTTTCTTTTGTTTTGTTAAGGGTTTTATCTGTTTTTTTTGTTTTGTGATTTTGTTTTGTTTTTGGGGGGTTTGTTTGTTTGTTTGTTTGTTTGTTTTGGCCGGAACTGTTACTGATATTAAATTTAAAAAGTAATAAACAATTCCATAAAAAGTTAAAACAATGGAATGTTTTGATAGTTGAGTCAAATGTTGTTGTTGTTGTTGTTGTTTCTTATGGTTTTAATGCACTTGTGTTTTATAGTTCTAGTAAAACCGCTGAGTCAAAGTTAGGAATTTCTTAAATATATCAGATAAGTTAAGCTTCTTTTGATATAGCAAGATTAGTTCAGGTTGTCAGATGTGATATTCAATGTGATATTCAATATGATATTCATGTTTCAAAAAGATAAAATTACTGCATATATTATCTTGACATTGTCCTTGACATAGTCCATCTGTTCTTTAACCTGTTACTAACAACAACCATGAAAAACATTTTTAATCATCCTTTTTTTTATATATAAAATTAAATTCAATCACACACACACAAACTTTTTCTGTACCTGTACCACATTCACTACCACATCCTGGTCATTTGACATAGTCCTTTTAGATAATATATCCACATTTTTTTTTTGCCTATTCGTCTGCAGGGTAAGAATGTGTCCAGGTGTCTGAGGTTGAGTGACAGATCTAAAATGACTTCAGTAGTAGAGCACAGTAAGGCTAGATGGAGACACACTTCATTCACAAAGCCCATCTGGAGGCTGACACGGTATGGATGTAAGCAAAGAACCACATTTGTTTTCTCTGGAAAAAAAACGTTAACTTACTGTATCATCCCTATATTTAAAGCAATAGCGAGGCCTTTGAAAATGAGGCTTGTTTTTACTTTTCCACCGCATTGGAAATGTGACTCTCTTATGCGTTCGGTATACAAAGAGCACAAACAATTTCTCTCCACACAGAGGCTCATTTATTCTTCTCTATTCATAATGCATTGACAATCATTTCCACAGAACTCATCGTGTTTTATGCGCTAGACAACGTTACCTTCTCCCTTTGTTCACAAAATATGTTGTCCTGTATCTGATACCTCAGATGTTAATAACCAGAGAGCAATAACAAAATTACATTAGCTATTCATTACTACATTCTAATATAATTCCTCAAATGAAAATATTTGCTCATTGTGAAGCGTGTTCATTTTCCAACGAGGAGGCCTGCTATTTTCAGCTATCACAAATCTAATATGCTGAAAGCTATATTTTAGTTTGGATTCATCTAATAACTGGCAAATGTGACCTTATCTGCAGTAATAATTTATTTGCATTCATATTTTGTTTACTTGTTTCTGTGCCCATTTACTATTTATGTGCTCTCTTTCTGTTGTGTGTGGTTATGTATGTGTGTAGGTGAGGAATGTGACTGTGGATGGTATTTTTGGAGCCTGGTCAGGATGGAAAGCTTGCAGTCATAGTGATGGCGGCAGTGTTGGTTCATGCCAGTGTCGTACTCGAGCGTGTGACAGCCCGAGCCCTCAGTGTGGAGGGCAGCCGTGCCAAGGAATCAGTGTTGAGGTGGCTAACTGCTCCAGGTATGAAAATGTCCCACAAATGTATATACAGCACAACGACTGAAGCACAAACAGGAAGCTACACATTTCACCTTTAGGCATGACAGAATTATATGGAAGCCAGTTTCCACCTCAAAGTAGAAAATATAAGGTGTTAGTGACTTTATGTATCACAATTGCAACATTATTTCTTGTAATTCTCAAAATATAACATTGTATCTCACAACTGTAACTTGGTTTCTCAGAACTGTGATTTTAAATCTGAGAATTGCAATTTAAAATATGACAATTGTAACTTCATGTCTCACAATTGTTATTTCTCATAAATGCAACTTTTATCTCAAAAGATAAAACTACAGACTGACTATATTTTGCAAATGTGCATTGTTTTTTTTGTAATTGTTATTTTATGTCTCACAATTTCAAATTAATTTCACAGTTGTGATTTTATCTCTCAATTGCAACTTTATTTCTTGTAATTACAACTTTATATCTCAAACAATCTGCAATCACACTTTGTCTCATGATTGCAACTTGATTTTATGCAATTGTCATTATAACTGACAGATGTGATTTCATATAGCACAACTGTGACTATCACACAATTGAGCCTATATCACACAATTATTTTATATCTCATATTTGTTACTTTATATCTCGCAACTTGTAATTGCAAATTTATTTCCCACAATTATCATAATACTCACTCACAATGTGACTTTAAATATCGCAATTGCAACTTGATTTCTCATAATCATTTTAAATCGGAGAATTGTGATTTCATATGACAATTGCGACTTGATGTCTCACAACTGTTGCTTTTTTCTCATAATTATAACTATGTATCCCACAATGTGACTATATTTCACAATTGTGCCTTGAGTTTTTTGTAATTGTCATTCTATGTTTCACAAATTCAAACTCATATTTCACAGTTGTGATTTTATCTCTCATTTTAACTTTATATCTCGCAATTGCGACTTGATTTGTCATAATTTCATTTTAAATCCGACATTTGCAATTTCATATATCAGTTGTTACTTTATTTCTCATAATTGCAAAATTTCTTGTATGCCACTTTATGTCTCACAATGTGACTTTTTTATCTTGTAATTGTATGTGTGTATCTTCCTAAATTGCAAGTTGGTCATAATGTAATTTTATATCTTGCAGTGTGACTGATTTTATCTGTAAATTTGATTTTTTTTTTAATTTAATTTCCTGTTTTAGTCATTACTATGAAGTGGAAACAAGCTTCCATACCATGCCACAAAACAGCAATTTTTCAGAAACAAAAGTTGCTGTGTGATTCTGAACTCATTTTCAAGACTAAATCATTTCATGCAATTATGTTGTTTCCAGTGTAAACAGGCTTAGAACAGTCTTAACTAAGATCCTCAGTTAACAAACTGAAGGTCAGATTATACCAGCCAGCTGTGCCAGCGTTTGATTAGTGATTTCTGCTGTAACATATCCATCCTCAGAAACGGGGCATGGACGCCATGGACGGCATGGGCTCCTTGCAGCACCAGCTGCGGGATCGGTTTCCAGGTCCGACAGCGTTCCTGCAGCAACCCCTCTCCCCGCCATGGAGGACGCGTTTGTGTTGGCCAGAATCGTGAAGAGAGGTAAAGAAAAGCACGACAGCTCATTATATATGCAAATGTTTACTCTCAAAATTTACTCTCAAAATCCACAAAATCTAAGGGGGCACATGCCTGTTTGAAAGGGCATGATGCTTCTTTTGTTTGTTGCTTTCATTCTCACCTGCTGCATATGTGATTTCTGCTGTGATTGCATGGCAGTTGACGATAATGAATGAATATACACAGCTCATTTTATTGCTTTTTTATTACTCATCCTATTATGCAATGTTCATCTCTAGAAAGCTTGTTAGTACATAACTGGAAGCACACAAACCAAATGCTTGAATGGAGGAGTGAGAGAGATTCTTCTTTATCTGCCCCATAATTTGTGTGACTGACATCCAATTAAAAATAAGCATGCTAAGACTTGTTAATTACAGAGACTGCAGCCACAGACTCGACACACACACCCAAACACTGTAGGTATGATAGTGCGCCATCTAATCATGGCAGAATTATGTTTAAACTGCGCTGCCCTGAGAATGTGTGATGTTTCTAAGCAACAGTGCATTGCAGCTGAAAAATTAGACCTGAAGTGCTGAGATGAAGAGAGGGCGAGAGAGGCATCTGTTGGAAACAGTTGTGGTCCCTCTGTTGAAGGTGCCAACTTTTCCTGACTCACACTTCAGGCTTTTGTCTTCAGACATTTTTATAAATATGCTCACTTATGTTTAAGACATCACTGTTAAACTCAGATGTTGCTGAGAATAAGATAAGAAAATTCAAATTATTTCCTTATTATTATAGTTGAATCTGCTAGAGGTAAATCATTTGTTTCGGTTCATGACCCAAGTGGTGACCAACAAGATTAAACAAAATGGTAAACAAAAAGGAATTTTTTTTGTTCTTTTGTAAAATAAACCATTTAATTTGATCCTTAAAAATCTTTTAAATTAGTTTTTTATATGAAGAGTTCAGATGCAAAAGCCTCTAAGTGCCATCTGAAATTTTCATCTAAAATTAGCTTTTTTATCTGGCTCCTATATTTATGTTCAGTTATTTCATTTTAATATCACAGAAAAGGACCTATACATTGCCATTAAAGTAAAATTACTGAACCTTCGCATAGGAGCTGATAAAAATTAAAATTTTAGATGAAAATTTCAGATGGCACTTAGAGGCTTTTGCATCTGAACTCTTCATATATTAGAAACATTAACTGTATAGGCCCAACAATATGCTAAATTATTAACATGACTGAATCAGTAGTGTTAAGTTTATTGTTAACTATGACTAAAACTTTTAAACTTTTAAAAGGAAACTATTAAAACTGAATGATTTAAAATATATTGTTAATTGAAATAAAATGATTAAATGAGAAACGTACTTAAAAATTAGAATTGTTGCCTTGGCAAGTAAATGAAAAAATAAATTGAAGTAACACAATTTTAAAATCTAAAACTGAAATATTAAAAAAAATAAATAATGACAAAAGGACATACTGTAACACAATTACTAAAACTTAAACAAAAACTAAAATGACAACTAAAAATATAAAAATAAAAACAAATTCAAAATATTAATAAATATTATAATACACTGTAAAAAAAAAAAAGTAAAAATAGGGCACAACTGTATTTATATGAAGGAATTTTCTGCATTGATTTTTACAGGTCTTTTGAATGCTGCACTTTATTGATTTTTTTGTTACCAGAAATGTCCATAAAATTAATTGATAATGTCCTGGCGAATCCGTGTATCATTCGATCATTCGTTTTTTGATTTAATATTGAAAGTAGAAAGTGGCAGTTTTTTTGTTTTGTTTTGTTTTGTTTTGTTTGTTTGTTTGTTTGTTTTTATAGTGTAGTATATAAATAATATAAAGAAAAATATCACTGGACTAAACTGAAAAATTTATTTTGTAAAGTTTTGTAAATGTAACCTACAATAACTATGTATGATTGAAAAATAATAAGCTGTTTTAATATTAGTCTTTCTAATTTTTGAAGATGACATTTTGACAATATAACAAACTGAGCTCAGGTTTGCCAAGATACCAATGCCTGAAATCACAAGTCATAAACTTTTTAATTTCGCTTCATCCAATAATGCCATGCTCATGATATGAGCCATGCTGTCCACATTAATTATATAGTTTTATACTTCTACTATATTTTTTAAAAAAAGTGCCTCATTTTTATGCCTCCTAAGCAATTTTAGGAGAAACATCTGAGGCAAAGTTGATACCTACTAGAGTTGTTGAAAACATATTTCATGTGTCTTGGTCTATGAAGGATCAACTGCTGAGCAATAAAATTTTACTGTGAAATGGGACAAAACGAGCATGCCACAGTTTTTAAGTCACCATAGAAACACAGACATGGGGCTTAAGACATGACGAACGCTGCAGATTGGTAGTTTTTCTTTCTTTCTTTTTTGCAGGTGACTGTGAAGCAGACCATTTCTGCCACCTCTTGCATTTTCTATCTCCTGCCCCCAACTTACACTCTTTCTCCAAGGCGCCAGGGCACTTGATGCCCTTAGGTGTCTAAGCATAAAGGCTGTGAATAATCAGCAGAAAAGTTCTGGTGCAAGCTTTGAGTTTGGCTCCAGTCTCGCTAGTCTACAAGCCCCTGTGAGTTTTTCACACCACCCATCCACTTTAATACAACACCTCGACCAGCCCAGTGGTGCATAATGGCTGTGAAAACATATCTGGGGAGCGCGTCAGGGCCCACAGTTTTCATTTAAGCTTGAAGGGAGCCGAGTTAATGGCTCAAATGTGCTTTGTCAGTTCCCTTAGCAGGACGCTGCTTCGGACCAAAAGAAGAAAGCAACATTCCTGGTTTTGTTCTACTCGGGCAACTGCAAAATCTCTAGTTCGGGGTCTTTTGTCCGATATTGAAAGAAGTTTGGATTCACTTGTTAGTGCTGCAGGGAACTTTTTTACTTTGAGTCCCGCTCAGCCAGTGGGCATCTGTTCAGAGGTATTCAGCTCATATGTACAGTCACACTTTATTCCCTGTTCGGCGCACTGCTGCCAGATGGCAAAGTCCTCAGCACGCAACTCTGCTGTGGGTCGGTCACCATGAGATGTCCTCGATGAGGGAAAACGAGAAAGAGACATCGAGAGTGTCAGCTAAAGTGATACTTCAGTCAGAAGTAAATAATCTTTCCTCATTTGCTCACCCTTTTGTTGTTCAGAAATCAGTCTGATTCAGAAGATGGATTTATGAATCAGATCTCACACCTTTTCTAATGAACACATGATTGTTTGATTTTGATGAATAACAAATAAATACATATAATCCAAATAATGACATAAATGTATTTAATTATTTATTTATTGTAGTATTCTATTTTTAAAAAATATATTGTTTTTATTTTAAACAGTATAAGTTAGCTAGAGTTTACATATTTTACTTACTGAACTAAGTTGAGTTTACTTATGAGCTTGGAAAAATCCAAAGTGATTAAATTTTATGTTTTATGTCATCACAAGCTGCTTTTAATTTAATGTTGTTTAAATATGAACATTGTTTAAAACAGATTTTTTTTTAATGTGTATAATATACACTAACTTTCAATAGTTTGGGGTCTGTTTTTTTTTTTTAAGAAATTAACTTTTATTCAGGAAGAATTTATTAGACGTAAAGAAATGTATAATACTACAAACAAACTATTTCTATTCCAAATACATTTTCTTTTTTTTGAATTTTCTATTTATCAAAACAAATTGGAGAAAAAGTGTATCATGGTTTCACAAAAATATCGAGCAGCACTTTTTTAACATTAATTCAATTTGTACAGCGCTTTTCACGATACAAATCATTGCAAAGCAACTTTAGAGCAAATTAAGTTTCTACAATATTTAGTGGTAGCTTATCAGTGGTGACTGTCAGTTAATGTACATATGGCAGAAATGTACGGAAAAATCAATTAAAGACATAATCAAACAGACGATGAACACTATTAACAGCTAATAATTAGTAATGTACTAGTTTACATTACTAATAAGAAGAAATGTTTGTTGAGCAACTGATCTGACACTGAAGAATGATTGTTTTGAATTGTAATAATATTTCGGTCCACTTTATATTAAGTGGCCGGTTACACTTTATTTTAAGATGTCCTTGTTACAGTGTAATTTAAGTAATGAGTAAGGACACCTTAAAATAACGTGTTAGGCAAAACACTTTTGCTGCTATTGAGGTGGGATATGGGTAAGGTTAGGGACAGGTTTGGTGGTATAGGTAGGTTTAAGTGTGGGTTAAGGTGTAAGGGATGGGTCAACAGTGTTATTATAAATGTAATTACAGAAATGAATTACAGATGTAATTACATGCAGGTATTTTTTTATAGAAATATATCTATATAGAAATATATATATATAATATATAAACACTTTAAAATGCTGGGTTAAAAACAACCCAACTTGGGTTATTTGGCAACCCAGCGCTGGGTAAATATTGGACAGAACACATTCTGGGTTATTTTGACCCAGCTGGTTGGGTTAAATGTTTTTACCAAACATGCTGCGTTATTTTATTTAAGTCATCTATTGTTTAAAAAGTATTATATTGCTGGCTTAAAATGGACTGCAAATTAAAAATACACACACACACAGAATTACTAGAGGCAACAGCAATAATCAAAAGATTAACATTTATTATTAAGCAAGAACACATGGACAAAATACAAGACAAATTGAATTTATTTGGGTGAATACAGCATAGTTTACAATATTACATACATTTAAATGTGACAAGCATTTTAGACATAAAAAAATGTAACGTTTAAAAGTAGCATTTTAATTTAAGTGTATTCAACCATTCTCTGTAATCGCTTTTCACCGAAATAGTGCTAATTCTGGTGCCGGTGTGTCACCGAAATCTGAGCTGGTGAAGGGCTGCTGTTCATGGGAGAACTGCGAACTTTAGACTGCGGCCTCGTGTTTCACTCGTAGCTGAAAAATGCCGTGACTGACTCCAAAGCTTGCCCATAAACAAACAGTACTGAGATTAGAGAACATATTTTAACACCAAATTAAATTAAAATCAGTACTATAACGAATAAAATCCATTTATCCATTTATAAGGCAAAAGGCGTTTCCATCATGCAGTGACTGCAGCTGACTGACACCTCGTACTTATGTTGCGTTGCGTAAAATAATACAATTTACAGCACAGTAAAGACTTTATAAATGAAATAAAATGTATACAACCCTTTATTTCGCTGAAGAAGTGCGCCAAATCGGCGGAGCTGTGAACTGCTCTCTCCTATAGTGGACTCAAAAAGCCCATGCTCTGACTGTAACTCAGCAGCTGGGTTGTTTAATCAGAGACAGGCTCAACTCAGCGGTTGGGTAAAAAAAATAACCCAGTGTTAAAAATGACCCAGTAACTTAGTTACTGAAAAACTACCCAGCATTTGGGTAAAAAAAAATAATAATAACCCAGCACCTGGGTAAAAATATTAAAAACAACCCAATTAAATGACTTACCCAGCATTTGGGTTAAAAAAAAATAACCCAGTGTTTATTAGTGTAGTAAAATATATAGTACAATGTAAAAGCAGGTATGTACACAAAGTGCATTCTATCAAATGTTTAATTTATATAGTAGTTAAGGCCACTTAAAATTAAAGTGGGACCATTTTACAATATTACTGTTTTTACTGTATTTTTGATCAAATAAGACATTAAAAGACATCTTACTGTCCCCAAACTCTGAACAGTAGTGGATATAACATAGGATATAAATGAAATGAACATGTTCCATGTCTGCATTGGCTCTGGCACCAGCACTCCGGGGCCTGGAGCCTAGTATCCAACTCTCTCTGTAAGTTCTGTGGGCCCTAGTTTTGATTTTTGAGACCCCATCTCAGATCATGCAGCCTGTGGCTTTGGAGGTCCCTGACAGTGGCCCCACTGGCCTGGTCCATAATCTAGCCCTGGTCCAGAGCCATATATCTATCCCGGCACAGGGTGTCTGTAAACGCCGAGCAGCAACTCCCATCCATTTGTGCTCAGAAACTCTCGAAAACAAGACAGAACGCCTGCAGGCAAAAGAACTGTTGTTGCAACACTCCAGTACTTTGTTCTGCTTGAAATCCATTTGATAAATGAATGTGTTTTTTACATGTTCCCTCATTCTTTTCATACACCATCTCAAATGTGCTATTAATTACCACTTTTTTCTTGTTCTTTTGATCGTTTGTTTATTTCTCCTCTTTTGTGCCAGAACAGGGGCAAACTTGTTAAACTTAGCAAATCCGATTTGAATGAACACTATTTGCATATGCAATTTGCATATTGGCAGTGGGTTTCCCTTGGCTATAAATCTTTCTTATATGGATCTCTCGACTTTTTTATTGCACGCTACATAACAAGAAGTTGATCAGTGGTTGGGAATGGGAATGTTTACTGATTCCTACTTTTGAATACTTTTTCATATTTGAAACTTATAAATTATTTTCTAATTTGCACATATACACATATCACCAGACATCTCTTTTGAAGAAAGTGGTTGCAGGCACAGAAAAATAAAAATGCATCTTGTGTAATTTCCCTGAAGTTTTCTACAGTTTTACAGATAAATATCGCTCATATGGAAGGCTGATCTCCTTTCCTTATACAAACATTTTATTTTCGCAGGAAGAGTGTTGCATTAATTTCAGCAGGAAAATATAAATTTTGTTAATAAGTTTCAAACTATAATGAGCCTAATTTACATAGAAAAGAGATGTCTGTAGTGAAAAGAATGACAATGGCTTCATTTAAATACTCAAGCATTACCACCTGGTTAAAATCAATCGTGAATATTTAAGCTGACTTTTTTTGCCTGGAAATGTTTGTAACTGTTTATATATATATTTGCCAGTTTTTTTGTTGTTTTTTTGTTTTTTGTGAGTTACAGTATATGAGGACATTAGCTTGTTTTTTTCAGCAATTAGGTATGTTCATGGTGATTTTCATGCATATATAATAATAATACACAATACACAGAAATTGTTCTGATTGTCCTGCTTTATTTTGATGTCTGCAACTTTTTCCTTAAGCCCAATTATATTATATTATATTATATTATATTATATTAGATACATATTGTTTGCATTATATATGAAAGGGGTCATATGACGTTCTAAATAAGAACATTATTTTGTGTATTTGGTGTAATGTGTTTATGCGGTTTAATCATGGCTTGATGCACCAAGTACTTTTGAAATGTTTACAATTAGTTTCTATTGTAATGTACAACCATTTCACAGGGAGAAAGAGATTGAAAATGATTATATTCTTTCTTTGAAGTAAAAATATAACTTTTTTTTCTTTATGATTTAATAATTCGTGCTTCAGAGGATTCATATTCAATTATTGAGGCCATTGCATAATCAGGATGGGTTGAGTGAATAACTAGGAGATGAGTTTGTGAATAAATGTTTATTTGCATGCTGAAATGTTTGTTTCAACCTACTTTAGATACTGCAATGAGCACCTGCCCTGCCCCCCACATGTCTATTGGTCAGCATGGTCTCCATGGGAGCGCTGCACAGTTCCATGCGGCGGTGGGATCCAGTCGCGACGACGAACGTGCGAGAATGGAAACGACTGCCCTGGATGCAGCATTGTATGTCACTTTCATATTATTACTCAATTTGTTTATGAGACCTTTTCTGATTTGAGCACCTCAGGAAATGAAAATTGTGTTCAGTGTTTATAGGCTTTATTACTAAAATATCAATAAAATTAACAGCAGAAGCATCATGGCCTACCTATGGTGAGCAAGTTATTTTAATTATTTATATCTTATTTAAGTTGCGTTCACATAATTCCAGTCCAGACAAGTTGCACACCTTTTCCTGTGGATTTATATCTAATCTAGCATTTAAAAGTTATTTTTTTTACAGAAATTAATACTTTTATTCAGGAAGGAGGCATTAAATTGATAAAAAATCAAGACTTGTATATTATTTTAAAAATCTTTCAAATAAATGTTTTTTTTTTCATCAAAAAATCCTAAAATAAATGTATCACAGTGTCCAGTTGCACAACTGTTTTCAACATTGATAATAAGAAATGTTTCTTGCACCAAATCAGCATATTAGAATAATTTCTGAAGGATCATGTGACACTGAAGATTGGAGTAATGATGCTGAAAATTCACCTTTGCATCACAGGAATAAATTACATTTTAAAATATATTAAAATAGAAAACGGTTATTTTAAATTGTAATAATATTTCACAATATTGCTGTTTTACTGTAATTTTTGATGCAGTCTGGGTGAGCATAGAGACTTTCAAAAATATAAAAATTTTTTTAGACACCAAATTTTTGAACGGTAGTGAACATATCTGCATATATCTACAGTGCTGTGAAAAAAAATTTGCCCCTTTCCTGTTTTTTTTTTGTTTGTTTTTTACGTATTTGTCACACTTGAATGATTCAGATCAAACAAATTTTAATATTACACAAAGATAACCCGAGTAATTACAAAATGCAGTTTTGAAATAATGATTTCATTTATTAAGGGAAAAAAGTAATTGCCCCCTAAATCTAATAACTGGTTGTGCCACCCTTTGCAGCAACAACTGCAATCAAGAATGTGGTTAATCACAGTTCTTTCATGATTTAACAGGAGGGGGCAGTTCATTTTTCACGTTTGGCAAGGTAGGTTTCGACAGCTTGTTTCCCTTAATAAATGAAATCAGCATTTAAAAACTGCATTTTGTATTTACTTGCATTATCTTTGTGTAATATTAACATTTGATGATTGATCTGAATATTTTAAGTGTGACAAATATGCAAAAAAAAAAAAACCCAGGAAGGGGACAAAAATCTTTTCACGGCACTGTACATAAACACACTATACTAGTCGAGAGCATATGCAATCCCAAAATGCATTTCCTCCCTTAGAAAGCTGGGAGGAGCTTGCCATGTGCATTAGCATTGCAAGAGTAAGCTGGGATTTTCCACTCATGAGTTAGCTGTGATATTCTTGCTCTACTTTTAAAACCAGTCACCCACTCGCTGCTAGTTTAGAATAAGTCCAGCTCACATGACCACGGTTCACTTTTCATGCCATTCGTGGAAGTGGTTTGGGTGATTTCGAGAATCTGGAACAGCTTTAAAAAGTTCATTTGCTATACAAACTCTTTTGTAAGGAATAATAACATCTGTCCGGTTTAGAAATCAGGGCTGTCAACCGTTTCGATCTTTGCTGCTTGATCAATGGCACTTGGGAGACACAATGGCTTAAGAGAAAGTTCAAACATTCCTGTGAGTCCTAATGGTAATGCTCTGTCAAAATGTGTGCGTGTTTAGCCTCAAGGCCAGCTGCCTCAGATCCATCACAATGTAGACGACACCGAAAACACCAACACACTGAAGTATCCTAGGAATGCCACAGAGGCCGTGAGGGCAGCAACATCATGTCGATATATATATAATTATATATGTGTGTGGGTACCAGGGTGGTGCGTTGCCTGATTTGGATTTTTGTGCTATTTGTGTGCCCTGTGAACACGAAGTTAAGCAAGCAAGCTTCAGTTAATAAGCAAGCTTCGTATTATTTTCTGTTACTGATGATTGCCAGACACTGGCATGGCCCATACATGCAAACAGCTGTTATCATTTTATGAAAAATTCCCCTACTAGTTGTTGGTTGTTTTGTCAGACACAATAAAAACATGTGTCAGTCAGCTGGTAATTTTACAGGGGGTTCGTTTGTCAGAATGCTTGTAACCTCTCTGTTATGATAGTGATAAAGCCCACATGAATGTAGCCAGGTGTCAGAGTAGACAGAAACATAATAATGAGTACCTGGCAACCCTTAATAGGTTGTTTGTTTGTGAGATCCTTCATATGTTCAGTGTAATGATGCTTTGATAATCAGACTCAAACATTACCATCACTTTGTCATATAGGGCGGCTGGAAATCTGTGAATCTGTGAAGTGCAGTGTTAAGTGTAAGGATTTAAGACTTTTTTTCTCTTTTTCTTAGTGGTAATTAGATTTGTGTAATTGCAAAAATAAGAAGGTGTCTTATACTAAAAATATGCTCTTTTTAGAATGCACATGATGTCAGCAGACACATTGCGAGTGTAAATAATTCAGCATTTTTTTGTGAAATGTAACTTCAGATCGTCCACTTCTGTCCAATCTGAATTCGCCAGTGTTGCAAGTGGGTAACTGGGTATTTCAATTAAATCATTGCAGATAGTAAGCTCTCGCTAAATTTCAGTTTCAAGCGTTAATAATATCATATGTATTTTATATAATAATGCATTATAAATGAAAAATGTATATAAAATACTTGTATTTTAGAATATTAAATCTGTATATGAATGCCTATATTTATTATATTATATTATATATTTAAAAATAAAAGATTCGATATATATTTCTTGTAGATCATATATATTTTATTATTAAACTTTAGATATATATTTTAGGTTATAATCTATGGTTCTTAACCTTTTTGAGTAAAAAAAAATAACATAGCACAATATTCGTATGCCATCATATAGGATATTTATTACAATATTTCTGCTTTAACTGACAAAACTGCTTGCTTTCAAGCTTTTTCCTTAACATAAACTGGGAGTAGAGGTCTGCGCGGGACTGTTTTTTTAGTCCTGCTCCCGCAAGGTTCTATTCCGCACCCACCCGCTCCCGTTATATATTCACTCTTTGTTCACCCGCTGTCTGCTTAGAATAATTTTCTTCCCGACCCGACCGTTCCAGCTAAATTTAGATCTCGTTTCCAGAATCTCACATTTAAATTTCCGCTACTGAAAGAAAGAGAGGCTGACAAATAAAAGTGTAGTCTGCACAAAATTGTATGTTATTTTATTCGTCTTGTCAAGAGTCTTGAATTTATTGACTTTGACTTGAATTTATATGAATTATCTTAAGACACAAAATTCATTTAATATTTTATGCAACACAGTAGGAAAAAAAGTGTCAGAAAAAAAAATTTATTTCTTATTTTTATTCGTCTTGTCAGGATACAATTCGTTTAACATTGACAACACAATAGGGAAAAAGTGTTGCAGAGAGAAAAAAAATAAAAATGTAGGTTGTACAAAAATAGCCTATTAGCTATTTTTAGGTTGTTTTGTCAGACACAATAAAAACATGTGTCAGTCAGCTGGTAATTTTACAGGGGGTTCGTTTGTCAGAATGCTTGTAACCTCTCTGTTATGATAGTGATAAAGCCCACATGAATGTAGCCAGGTGTCAGAGTAGACAGAAACATAATAATGAGTACCTGGCAACCCTTAATAGGTTGTTTGTTTGTGAGATCCTTCATATGTTCAGTGTAATGATGCTTTGATAATCAGACTCAAACATTACCATCACTTTGTCATATAGGGCGGCTGGAAATCTGTTGTGCAAAAAGTGCAGTGTTAAGTGTAAGGATTTAAGACTTTTTTTCTCTTTTTCTTAGTGGTAATTAGATTTGTGTAATTGCAAAAATAAGAAGGTGTCTTATACTAAAAATATGCTCTTTTTAGAATGCACATGATGTCAGCAGACACATTGCGAGTGTAAATAATTCAGCATTTTTTTGTGAAATGTAACTTCAGATCGTCCACTTCTGTCCAATCTGAATTCGCCAGTGTTGCAAGTGGGTAACTGGGTATTTCAATTAAATCATTGCAGATAGTAAGCTCTCGCTAAATTTCAGTTTCAAGCGTTAATAATATCATATGTATTTTATATAATAATGCATTATAAATGAAAAATGTATATAAAATACTTGTATTTTAGAATATTAAATCTGTATATGAATGCCTATATTTATTATATTATATTATATATTTAAAAATAAAAGATTCGATATATATTTCTTGTAGATCATATATATTTTATTATTAAACTTTAGATATATATTTTAGGTTATAATCTATGGTTCTTAACCTTTTTGAGTAAAAAAAAATAACATAGCACAATATTCGTATGCCATCATATAGGATATTTATTACAATATTTCTGCTTTAACTGACAAAACTGCTTGCTTTCAAGCTTTTTCCTTAACATAAACTGGGAGTAGAGGTCTGCGCGGGACTGTTTTTTTAGTCCTGCTCCCGCAAGGTTCTATTCCGCACCCACCCGCTCCCGTTATATATTCACTCTTTGTTCACCCGCTGTCTGCTTAGAATAATTTTCTTCCCGACCCGACCGTTCCAGCTAAATTTAGATCTCGTTTCCAGAATCTCACATTTAAATTTCCGCT